CATACATACATACAAACATGCATACATACATACATTACATACATTACATACATACACACATTACATTACATTACATTACATTACATTACATTACATTACATACATTACATACATTACATTCATTACACTCATTACATTACATTACATTACATTACATACATTACATACATTACATACATAACATAGAATAACATTACATTACATTACACTACATTACACTACATTACACTACATTACACTACATTACACTACATTACACTACATTACACTACATTACACTACATTACATTACATAACATACAATACATACAATACATACAATACATACAATACATACAATACATACAATACATACAATACATAGAATACATACAATACATACATACATACATACATTACATTACATTACATTACATTGCATTACATTACATTACATCTCGTCATATCACATTACATTACATTACATTACATCACATACATACATACATTACATACATACATACAAACATGCATACATACATACATTACATACATTACATACATACACACATTACATTACATTACATTACATTACATTACATTACATTACATACATTACATACATTACATTCATTACACTCATTACATTACATTACATTACATTACATACATTACATACATTACATACATAACATAGAATAACATTACATTACATTACACTACATTACACTACATTACACTACATTACATTACATTACATTACATTACATCTCGTCATATCACATTACATTACATTACATTACATCACATACATACATACATTACATACATACATTACATACATACATACATACGTACATACATACATACATACATACCATACATACCATACATACCATACATACCATACATACCATACATACCATACATACCATACATACCATACATACCATACATACCATACATACCATACATACATACATACCTACATACATACATACATTACATTACATTACATTACACTACACTACACTACATTACATTACATTACATTACATTACATACATTGCATACATTGCATACATTACATACATACATTGCATACATTGCATACATTGCATACATTGCATGCATTGCATGCATTGCATGCATTGCAGGCATTGCATGCACTGCATGCATTGCATGCATTGCATGCATTGCATGCATTACATACATTACTTACATTACATACATTACATACATTACATACATTACATACATTACATACATTACATACATTACATACATTACATACATACACACATTACATTACATTACATTACATTACATTACATTACATTACATACATTACATACATTACATTCATTACACTCATTACATTACATTACATTACATACATTACATACATTACATACATAACATAGAATAACATTACATTACATTACATACATACATACATTACATACATACATTACATTGCATTACATTACATTACATGACATTACATGACATTACATTACACTACATTACACTACATTACACTACATTACACTACATTACACTACATTACACTACATTACATACAATACAAACAATACGTACAATACATACATACATGCATGCATACATACAGTACACTACATTACATTACATTACACCACACTACATTACATTACATTACATTACACTACATTACATTACATACATGCATACATACATACATACATTACATACATTACATACATATATACATACATACATACATACATACATACATGCATGCATGCATGCATACTTACATACATTACATACATTACATACGTACATTACATTACATTACATTACATTACATTACATAACATTACATTACATACCTACATTACATTACATACATTACATACATTACATACATTACATACATTACATACATTACATACATTGCATACATTACATTACATTTCATTACATTACATTACACTACACTACACTACACTACATTACATACAGACACACACACACACTTACCTACCTACCTACCGACCGACCGACCGACCTACCTACAGACATACCGACAGACACGCTTACATACATACACCTGCATAGCCCAAAAGGGCCGTTTCCCAATGGTCCCAGAAGGGGATTTTCGTTGCCGGCCCAAAGGCTTTCAAATGGCAGGTTCTTGATTTGCGTTTCATCTACCATCCACATGCGTGCCCGTTTCCTTGGTTTGTTGTCAACCCAAGAGTGGGTTCCCACATGCGCTCAGGCATGGTGGGTTCGCCCAGCACGTTTGTGAGGGTAGTGAACCTGTTGGAACCTGGTCCAAGGGTTCCACCTAGAATGGAACCCTAAACCCTAAAAGTTTTTGCTCTGGGTGGCTGGGGTGGGTGAACTGTGCAGAGCGAGCGTGCTTCGTGCGGGGGGCGTGCCTGCAGAATTGACAGCCCCCAGCCTACGCGCGACCACGTTTGCACACCCTAAACAGGCGAGAGCGCCGCTGACCATATACATGTGGCGCTCGAGCCTTCTGGCTCGAGGCTCGAGGCTACGCCTCGACGCCACTTCGAATCTGAGGGCCTGCTAGGGTCAAGCCTAGCAGGACAACGCAGACGCCAGTCGACCACGCCTGAAGGCTACAACCCTCTGACGTATGTCAGTAAAGTATAACCCCTATCCTGAGCCCCGGGCCATATAGAGCCGCTTTCTTGGCTATTGACTTCCCTGAGGATCCGATATTGAAAAACTTCAATCCCTGTATTGAAAAAAAATCATTTTCAATAATATTGAAAATGGCACATGTTGGGACCTCAAAAATCAATACCATGATCAATCCTATATTGATCTTGAGATTGATCAAGATTGATTAAAATTGATGGAAAATATTGAAAATTATATTGATCGATATTGATCGATATTGATCTTGGCAAAGCTTTTTCTTTGACAAGCTGAAGGTGTCAGGGCTTTCTTTGAAGCCATGTCTACAGCAGCATTCCAGGCTTGGCTTTCTTTCAAGCCTCTAAATTATTTCATTGATTCTGAGCTGCACAGCCATGGTGTACTTTGTGATGAAAGATTCACTGATTCTCGAAGCTCTGGTTCCATGTGAGCAGCTGTGGCCCAAGGTTGCAATGTATCCCATGAATGATTCTTGCTTGTATGTCCAGCAGGTAGCTGGGTTTTGGAAATGCAGCATCAAAGCAATGTGTGCCACATAGTGGCATTTAGGCGTCAATGTGAATCTGACTTCATCTCCAAAATGGCGGTGCAACCAAATGTAATGCTGCATGCTTTCTTTCAAGCACTTCTCAGCTTTTGTGCTGTCCTTCATGAAAAAATCATCTCCTGAAATGATGGCATAGAAATTTGCCATTTGGTGGCAGCATTCAGCCATGTGGGCAAAAGCCTCACATTCACTGGCCTTCTTCCAGGCCACCATGGCTAATGCTGGCATGAGATGTCGAATCTCTCCTGCATGGCCTTTGAGCTTTGCTGGCTGTGAAAATGGGTTTCTTTCAGAAGTAAACATAGAAACCACGAGGTTGTTGTACTTCTCTGTGATGTGCAATTCTGCGTATGCTTCTTTGAGTAGTGCCCATATTGTGGCAGTGTTGCCAGGCCCAACCTCTTTTTTGGATCCAGGTGGATATGCCCAGGCATGTAGGATGGAGCCTGCCAACCTGGCAGTCACACCTAAATCTAAAGTGTGCAAGACATCGAAGCACACTCTGTATTCTGGTAGGCCACCAGGGATTTTGAACAGAGTGTGGTTGGTGCAAGGGCTTTCTTTCAAGCCTTCCAAAGATTTCATTTCCCATCCAGGTTCAGAGGTGAAATCAAAAGGGTTTTTCAGATGGTTTCCTTTCTCACAATCACAGAGCCAGCAATTTTTTTTGCTTTGCCAATGGGGGAAACCTAGGTGATTTGCATAGTATTCCAAATCGCCTAAAAAATTGAACACCCAGAAGGAATGCCCCTCAGGTGTAATTGGCTTTCTTGCAAGCCTTTTCAAATTTGTTGGCAGTGGCCTCCCTTTCCAATCCACGTCTGGGTGAAAACCTTGGAAAAGAGCAGTGAAGCTCCAAGCCATGACCTCATGGATTTCCACCCATGTGTTGGAAGCAGCTGCTGACTTTGGCCATGCAGTTATGAGGAAAGAACTATCCATGGGGTGGCTGGGATGCATTTCCCTTGGGCCTTCTTTCAGGCCTTGAGGAGCATAAAGCGTGGGTCCCCAGGTGAATGTCATTAAGGAGTCTGTGGAAAATTCGACACCATCTCCATGAAGCCAGAGAGGGATGGTTTTGTGTTTTTGGCTTTCTTTCAAGCCACTGTCCCACAGCCTGGGGTCATTGCTTTTCAAGTTTCCCCAGAAAGCTTTCAACTTGTGAAGGCCAAAAAGCGAAGGAGCCAACTTAGGATAGCTGCTGAATAATTGCCAAACCAGCAAATGTGGCAGTACAATGTGGCATGCTGCCTTGGTCTCTGGATTTTCTTCTTTGGCATCCAAGGCAGGAACCTGAATGGAAATTGTTGGGCTTTCTTGCAAGCCCCCGTGCATGGACTTTTTCAACCTAGCCCTTAATAGCCTTACAAGGTCTCTATGGCAATTGCTTGGGTATTGACCAAAGGTTCCTAAGCCGCTCAATTCCACTATGCTCTCACATTGCAAGCCATCTGCAGTGGCTGCAAAAGCGATTTCTTGGAGCCCTGAGCTACTTAATTTCCCCAGGGACCAAAGTTGCAAAAGTTTCTTGCTTAGAACCTGGCCTTCTTTCAGGCCTGGAGCTGGTCTTTTCCTAGTGTTTGTTAATTCTATTTTCTGATGGATGCCTGGCATGACCTTGAGCCATTAAAAACAGCTGCAGCATGCATGTATCTTACAGGTGAACCTCTTTACCCAAAAAAAGCTGCCTGGGGGCTGGGCATGCAAGCTGCTTATTTTTTTTGCGGGGCAACCATGCTGTCGCAAGTCAAGGCAAAAGTGGCCATGTCCCAGGCCTTCTTTCAGGCCAATCCTAGGCAGTGAGCAATTTCTTGAAAGCCTTCAGAGCTGATGCTGCTTCCAGCAAGTGGTTCTTGATGCCTTCCAGCTCACCATCTGTTGCCAAATCTTCCAAGCTGTCTCTAGATTTGATGAGAGCTTGCAGGACATCTGCACCCCAGCTGGCATCTTTGGCTTTCTTGCAAGCCTTCTTCAAATCAGCCACTCCTTTGCTGACCAAGGCCAGCATCTTCTTGACCTTACTGTCCTTTTCGTTTTCACCCACTTGTGTGGCTTCCTCTAACTTTGTGTGCCATTTTTTGTCTGCTTCCTTTTTTTTGGCAATCTTAGTCTTCTCTGCCTGAGCTTTCTTGCAAGCTCTGCTGTCCTCCTCCTTGACTTTCTCTTCCTTTGCGAGGTGCTTCTCCTTGTCATCATTTCTTTTTTCTTTTTTCTGAGAGACCATAGCCTGGCCTTTTTTCAGGCCTTGCAGGAAACTTGCTGCAGGATTATGTTGCTCTGCTGAACTTTCGTCCTCATGTTCAGAAGAAGTTTCAGAAGGTTCTGACAAAGCATCTTCAACCTGGAAGCCTTTCTGTGGCTTTTTTCAAGCCAAAGGTCATCCCATTCCTGTTTTGTTCTTGCTGCTGCTAAGGCCTTCTTGCAGGCCTTCAGTTCCTCACCTTGCAGTGCTATTTCTTGCTCAGCAGCAATCCTTTTTTTTGCTCCAGTGTGAGCTCGGTCCTGATCTTCACCAGGAGAAATTCATAGAATTTCTTTCCCACCTTTTTCACTGCTATTAAACCACTCTCTACCCTGGCCAGGGCCTCCTCTTCCCCATACCAGTCAAGGATCTGCTTCCAGGGGACCCACTCAAACCATTCTTTCTCCTTCTTGGAGTTGGCGACTTCTTGGCTTTTTTTCAAGCCCCCTTCCTGGGCCTGACCAGTCTTCAGGAAGTGCAGAAGCAGTTGCTTCTTCTGATCCAGGACACCTGGGCCACCCATCTGGAGCCAAGCTGCTTTGGCTTCAGGGTCTTTGTTCCTGGCTCCTTCATATTTTTTCCACAAGGCAGCTCTGTCTTTGTTGGAGATTTCCTGCCAGAATGCAGCCTCTGACAGGTGGCCTTCTTTCAGGCCTTGGATGGCTGCCTGTGTTTTTTCGTGAAGTTTGAGCCTGGAAGAAGTCAAAGTGGCACCAGCCTCAGAGCCTTCTTTCAGGCTTGCCTGGGCTGCCTTTGCTACACTTTCTGGAAGCATCTTTGCTGCTTCCTCTATCTCAGCCTCAGCAGCTGGTTTCCCTTCTTCAGAAGCATCTGGTTGGTGGCCTTCTTGCAGGCCCTCTTGCTGCTCCTCAGCAGTTGCCCCCTGGGTTGCTTCTTCCTGAGTTGCTTCGGGCTCAGAAGCTCCTACTTGGCCTTCTTGCAGGCCTTCTTGCTGCTTCTCCTCAGCACTTGTCTCTTGTGTTGCTTTCAGTGGTTGGCTTTCCTCATTTTTTTCATTCAGTTTCTGTGTTTTTTTTTCTGGCTTTCTTTCAAGCCCTCAAGGGATGCAGGCCTTTTCTTGGCCATAGCCTCCAAGTACGGCTGGGGATTTGAGTTCTGAAATTGCTACAGAAAAAAAGGTTTTGGTTTACATGAAGTTTGAAAGTTAACATTTAAAAAAAACATGCGTGTGAGTTTGGGAACTCCACAGGATGGTTTCGCGCAGGTTTCGCGCAGTTGGGAACTCCACAGGATGGTTTCGCGCAGGTTTCGCGCAGTTGGGAACTCCACAGGATGGTTTCGCGCAGGTTTCGCGCAGTTGGGAACTCCACAGGATGGTTTCGCGCAGGTTTCGCGCAGTTGGGAACTCCACAGGATGGTTTCGCGCAGGTTTCGCGCAGTTGGGAACTTCACAGGATGGTTTCGCGTAGTTTAGGCGCAGTTGAAGTTATTTTTTTAAATTATAACATTTTTATGACATGCTTTTTTTAATTAAATGTTTCTTCTTTTTTCAAATAGTATTGGCTCTCTTTCAGTTACCTTAACTATTATTTCTTATTATTTCATTTTATTTTATTTTTCAATATTTTATTTACTTTTAAATTTCTTATTATATTATTTATTATCTTTTTTTTCTTTTTTATTTATTGGTCGCTGAAGCAGGGGGGCCTTCTTTCAGTCCTGTCCCCTGGTGAGACAGCCTGAGGTGGTTTGGCTTTCTTTCAAACCTGTTTTTGGTTACTTTTCTTCCTTGTGGCTTTCTCTCAAGCCAAGTTTTTGTGCATGCCAATTTCTTCCCTGTGGCTTTCTTTCAAGCCTCACAGGTCAGAAGCATCCACCTCTTTCTCTCTTTTTTCTTTTCCCTCCTCCTGCCCCTCCTCCTCCTCCTCCTCCTCCTCCTCCTCCTTGACCACTTTCTTCCTTTCCTTTCGCTTCTTGGCTGTTTTCCCCTCCTCCATATCCTTGTCATCTTCCTTCTCCTTCTCCTTGGGCTTCTCTTCCTTTTGGGGCTTCTTCTCCTTCTTTGCAGCTTCCTTTTCCTTGGAAACCTTTTTCTCCTTTCGCTCCTCCTCCTCCTTTGTAGCTTTCTTTTCCTTGTCCTTGGGGTCCTTTTTCTTTGGCTGCTCCTCCTCCTCCTTTTCCTCTTTCTCCTCCTCCTCCTCCTGCCAGTCTGGCTGCTCCTCCTCCACAAATACCCCCTCCTCTTCACTGTATTCATATGAATAAGAAGAGGAGGAGGATCTGCCGGCTTTTTGTTTAGGCCTTCTTTCAGGCCTGCTGCTGCTGCTGTTTGGCCTTCTTTCAGGCCTGCTGCTGCTGCTGTCCTTCCTTTTTGGCCTTCTTTCAGGCCTGGCCCCTGGCCCTTCCTGCAGGGTAACCCCTCTGGCAGGGCTGGGGCTCATCTCCTGCTTGCTGAGCCATGCAGCCTTCTCTTCCAAGAAGGCTGCCTTCTCTTCCAGCAACTGCTTTCTTTCAAGCATTAGTTGCTCCTCCTCCTCCTTCACCTCCTTCTCCCTCTCCTTGATCATCCTCCATTTCCTGCTCCCTTCATGCAAAGGCTGAACCTTGTCTTCCTTAAAGCCTTCTTTCAGGCCCTTCTCTTTCCTGGCTTGGACTTCAGGGTCTCTGGCCCTCAAAGCCTTTCTCGCTTCCCTTCCCCTCTTGCCCCTGGCTTCTTGCCTGAAAGGGTCCCAATCCTCCTCCCCTGGTCGATGCTCAGGGACAAAAGCTGGCCTTCTTTCAGGCCTGCTGCTGCTTGCCTTTTCTTTGGCCTTGGCTTTGCCTTTGCTTTTCCCTTTTTGGCCTTCTTGCAGGCCTTCCCTGGCTGCCTCTGCAGGGCTTGGGCCAAAGAGGCGGCCCTGTGTGCTTCTGGGAGCCTCCTCCTCCTGTCTCCTCTGCCCCCTGCGCAGGGAGTTGTCAGAGGATGATTCCTCCTCCTCATCCCTGTCCCTCCACCCTATCAGGCTCCCTTTCCCAGCCAGTCCAGGTGTCGCCATCATCCCAATCCTTTTCATGACCCCAGGGCACATAGCCAGCATAAGCTCGGCCTACCCACCAGGTCATGTGGTTTCAGATGGCCTTCTTGCAGGCCTTGAGCTGGAAGATTTGCAAGTGATTGAATTGCTGGGCCTTCTTGCAGGCCTTAAGTTGAAGCGCGCTTAGAGGTTGAAAGGTGCCCCCCCACCTATCTTCGGTTTTGAGGCTCAAAAGGCTGCAGGCAACAAACAGATTGCTTTCGCCTACTATGTTAAACCCTTTTTGGTGAACATAACACCCCTGGAACACTCAGGTCATAACCTAAGTACAAAAAGAATGACAGTGAAAACGGTGAGGTTTTTCTTTAAATTTCGTTGGCTATCCCCTGCCCCACAAAAACAAACACTTTACCCAAACCCCAAACCACAATTTTTTTTGGCCAAGAAAAAAGTCCTGGCCATGTGCTTTGCACATGGCTGCGGCCTGAACCCTCCTAGTGGCCTTCTTTCAGGCCTTGCCCTGTTAGAAAGGTGTATGCCTTCTTTCAGGCATTCAATCTACATTTTTGACTAAATCGTCTCTTTTTTCTTTCATGTTTTCCTTTGTTATGTCCTCCTCCATGGCCACCTTTTCCAGCTCCAAAATCACAGCGTGATGCCCACCTGGGAAAATCTTTCCCATTCTTTTGGTGCAGCCAATGATGAGCTTCCAATCTCTTCCAAAAAGGCCCATGAGATAGGCTTGGTCCTTGCCCATGACTTTTTTCACTGCTGACCATGGCCTTCTTTCAGGCCTTGGCCCTTCTGCTGCCACCAATGGTTCTGGCTGTGGTGCTGCTTCTTTTTTTGGTCCTTGCTTCTCTGTGGGCCTTCTTTCAGGCCTTAAGCTTTTTGCCTTGGGCAAGGAAGCTTTCTTCGAAGCTGGCTTTTTTTTGCATTCTTTGCTGGCTGGCTTTTTTTTGGATTTCTGACCTTCTTTCAAGCCCTGGTCTGCTCTCAACCAACTCTTGGGCTGCCTCTTGTGCAGCTTTATCCAGCTGCTCCTTGCAGCTTACCCTCATTTTTTCCAGAATTGTCATGTTTCTGGAAAAGCAATCTTTCACTTCTTCTTCTTCTTCTTTTGCAGCCTTTGGAGAATTGAGAATGGCTGGCCAGCCATGGGAGTCCACAGAAACATCTGAAACTTGTAGTTTCAAAGTTCTGGCCTTCTTGCAGGCCTGCTCCTCGGGTTCTTTCAAAGAAGCAGAGCTGGAACTTCCTTGGCCACCAGCCTCTGCAGCTTTCGCAGAAGAAGTCTCCTTGGCAGCTTTGGCCTTCTTGCAGGCCTGGTCATCCTCAGGACCTGGGGCTGCTTTCTTGCAAGCATCTGGCAAATCCACAATTTCAAGAATGGATTGCCTTTCAGCCCCTGTAGCTCCCTGCAGGCACTGCCTTAGTTTCGAAGAGTCTCTTTTCAGTCTTCTCACATGGCTGAGCAAGCAGACAAATTGACTTGCAAGCTTGCCTGCCCACAGGTCATCCTTCCACTCACTGTCGTTGTGAGTGTACCCATATTTGAGGATGCACTGCTTCAACTGCCCAGAGGGAATTTCTCCTTCTGAGATTTTGTAGAACTCCTTGACATACTTTGCATTATGGTGCAAACCTGCAGAGCTCACAGCTGTGCTTACACTTTTCTCCTGATAGTCACCAAGTTTAAAAGCATCAGCACCTTGGGTGGCCACAGCTGTCTCAAAAAATTTTCGCAAAGCATCCAAGTCCACTGGTGGCACCAATGACCTGCGTGCTCCACCCTTGGATGTCATGGCTTTCTTTCAAGCCCTAGCAAGCTGAAAATCCTCAGATTCAAATCCCTTGAAGATGATTGATCTTTCAAGCCCACAACACACCAGCTGAAACCCCAAAACTTTGAAGAATGGCCTTCTTTCAGGCCCAGACCAGGCAATGAGTTTAAACCTGCTATAAGCAAAAACAGCTCTGGCACGTATGAGTATGAAATAGAAGCTTGCGCGTTGTGAATGCCTCTAATGGCCCCCTACATGCTTGAAAAATGGATCTGACAATTGTAGCTGAAGACTGATGATGGTCTTGACTTGCTGATGATACTACTATATGATATTGATCATGCTATTGATCGATATTGATTGGAAATATTGATCTTTTCTTTCAATCCTCGATATTGAAAAACATATTTTCCTGGTATTGAAAAAAATCATTTTCAATATTATTGATCAGGATTGATTTTTTTCAATATCGGATCCTCAGGGTTGGGTGGTTGGGGTGGGACCACCAAGCAGAGCGAGCGCGCTTCGAGCGGGGGGCGTGCCAGCAGCATTGACAGCCCCCCGCCTACGCGCGACCACATTTGCACACCCTAAACCCTAAACCCTAAACCCTAAACCCTAAACCGCAAACCTGAAGACTTGATGCTCCAAAATGCAACCCCTTCTCAGGAAATCAGCGCCCTGACCTCCGAACATCTCTCATGAACATGTCTTTTGTACTGCGCCTGCCACGCGAAATGCATCTTTGCAGATCCTCTTCAAATGTCCCACGCCTGCCATCGTTCTTGGAAATGCTACAAAATCCTCACGTTTTGCTCACTTTTGACAAGGTGCACAATCCCTTCTGCTTACCACGCAAAACGACATCTGAACGTCCAAAAGTGCTCCGTACCCCTCAGTTTTTTGCACTTTTGACTTGGAAATGTGTTTCGCGCCACAACGGCGGTCCGACAATGGTGTGTTTTGCACATTTTGACTTCGAAATGTGCTTCGCGCCACAACGGCGTACACTTTTTCGACATCGCAACTTCCAAAAGTGGTCCGACAATGGTGTGTTTTGCACATTTTGACTTCGAAATGTGCTTCGCGCCATAACGGCGTACACTTTTTCGACATCGCAACATATCGCAACTTCCAAAAGTGGTCCGAGCACGGTGTGCTTTGTACATTTTGACGTCGAAATGTGCTTCACGCCACAACGGCGTGCACTTTTTCGACATCTCAACTTCCAAAAGTGGTCCGACGCTGCATTGAAGTGTTTTGTGTATTTTGCCTTCGAAATGTGCTTCGCGCCACAACGGCGTGCAATTTTTCATCTCTCATCTGGCCAGCTGGCTCCGCACCTGCCGCTTTAGCGAGCCTACTTTTCGACCCTCCGGGGCCACAAATCATTGGAAAAACACAGTGTTTCGCGACTTTCCTACCTTTTCGCGCATCTGCATCTTCTTTCTTCTGACTCTTTCTCTTCTCTGATATTCTCTCTTCTACTCTCCTCTTCTCTCTGCCTCTGCCCAGCTCTGCTTTTCATCTGTCCATATTGTCGGAAGTTTGACTTCTAAACTTCCTTCGATCACCTATTGGAGCCAAAAAAAAGAGGTTTCGTAAGTCATGGGTGATCCCCAAGTCACCATGGGTTTCAGTTCTCAAATGGTCTAATGACTGGATCATTTGGGGGATCCCCCATGACAAAAACACCCATATCAGAAAAAAGAATCACATCAACCAGGTTGGAACATACCAAAAGCATCCATAAACATGGTGGAACCATCAGATTATAACATGTACTTCTCCAGCGGTTTGGAGCTTATATCACAAAACATCATCTGGTTGGTGGTATACCTAACCCTCTGAAAAATATGAAAGTCAGCTGGGATGATTATTCCCAATATATGGAAAAATAACAAATGTTCCAAACCACCAACCAGTACTTAAAATCCTTATTCATCAGTATTGATCCCTATTAGTCAATGGGAAGTCCTCCCTGTTACCATCCCATCCAAGCGCCTCAGCCATTAACGTTAACGGACCATAACGGACCACCGTAGCGTTAACGGTTAACGGCTGGTTTTCCGCCCGTGGCGAGGCGCACGTCCGAGATGATGTCGGACATGCTGAAGGTGCCTCTCACAGCGATGACCAACGACTTCAGCCGCCGGTCGCGGAGGATCCAGTAGACGGGTTGGAAGGCTTCCTGAACAGCGGGAAGCTGTTCACACAAAGGCTTCTGACATGTATTTGTTTAAATGAAAAGGAATATGTTTTGGGGTCTTAGAGTCTTAATGGTATTTAAACATACC